CCTGACTGAGGCGGTTGCACCGCTCAACCAGTGCTCGGAGACCGAGCCCAGGTGGTGCCACCTCCTGTCAGGGGAGGTTGCACCGCCCAATCTCGCTCGGAGACTGAGCCCAAGCGGTGCCATCGCCTGGCTGGAGCGGTTGCACCTCCCAGTCTCACTCGGAGACTGAGCCCAAGCGGTGCAACCTCCTGCCTTGGGCGGTTCAATCGCCTAGCAGAAATCAAGGTCCGAATGGGTTGATCCATTCGGCCCAATTTGGATTTTTCAGGGGCCCAATTGCCCCAAGATTAAGTTAATGGGATCACCTCCTATTTCCAACTTAATCATTGTGCTAACTATGATATTTCCCAAGACATTTACTGCAACTTGCTCCGGTGCATCGATCGTTTCTTCCGGCGAGCTTCCAGCAAACTTCCGTCGATCATCCGATGAACCCTCGGTGATGCTCCTGTGGACTTTCGGCAAACTCCTGGACTTGCGACGATCCACTTGGCGAGTTCCGACGAGCTTCTTTGGCAAGCTCATGGACTTCTCAAATTTGTTCCCGCAGAACCTCCGACGACTGTCCGAACTTTCGTCGAACTCTCAAACTCCCAACGTGATCATTGTCTTGACTCCGGCGTAACTCCTGCTGCATGTCTTTCTTCCATCGTAGTTAATCCTGCACACTTAAAACAAAACTTCGATCGAGACAATTAATCCTAAGCAATTAACCAAGTTGTCCGGCATGTCATTGGTCCCTCGACGCTTCGTCCGATTCTTCGGCGCATCGTCCTCTCCTGCAGCCTATTGCCCAATCGGTCAGTTGACTCCGCAACTCCGATATCCTTGGCACAATACCCGCTCTTCTTGGCCCGATGCCCGAGTCCACGACCCGAAGCTTTCTATCGATACGTCGACCGATCCACCGGCCCGACGTCCAATCTTTTGACATGTTCCTCCGGCACAACATGATTTTCCTGCTTTAATTGTCTCATCCTGATCGAAGCATCCTGCGTCACTCAAAACGCAGATTAAATCATAAACATATATTAAGTAGTTTCATTATCAAAATACTAGATTCAACAAAATCGACTTAGATGTGACAGTGTACATGAAGTTTATAAATCTATCTTTCATCTAACCTTCTTTTAGTGTTAAGTAATAAGAAAAGCAAGACTCTTTCCAACATTTTAGCCGTTAAGTTTTAAGAATACTGGTTCCCCGATCAAATTCTTTAATTGGTCCTTGATCTTTGTTAGGATCACATGAAATCTCCTAGTATGCCTACCCCTCCCATCACCTTCACTGCACTTGGCTGGTGCATGCTTCTCCAGACGCCACTAACTCACGTTTCAACCGTTAAAGTTGGTCGATGTATCATAGGTCGCAATAAATATTTTCATTTGAGCACACATAGTAGATTTGCCTGTTAGCTGCTATATTATACCTCTACACTAGGCATGGAAGACATCTGGATTTGCACCGCATGACTCACACGTGCGCATTACTACAACCTTCCTTGAGTTGACCATAATCTCTCGTTCTCGAGCCCCTTGCCCGATCCCACCACATTCATACAGATCGTACATGTCAAACAACTAGCAGAAGATTGATGCCAGAGGAAGAAGAAAAGGCAGCGGAAAGAGAGCGGGAGTTGACACTTCTGGACATTGGGGTCCGTGGAGAGTTGCGTTCTCCTCCTCTTTTCCTTTTCCAATCTCTTTTTGGAGGCTCACGACACAGCGCAGTGCATGCAGCACCACCAACAACTCCTTTTGCTTTCTTTACGCTGGTGTGGGGATCATGGTGGGTGGCATTCCAAGTGTGGCGTCTCTGTTGGAGAATCCACGACCCAAATGTCTCCATGCTTTCCCAAAGCTTTTATGAGTGTAGCTGTCCTTTGTTTGCGTGCTCTTTGTAGGCCCTCTTCCAAGTCTCATAATGACACACACGTAGAGAGAGAGAGAGAGAGGACAGCAACCCCTTGGTTTACCGGGCGGTGGTGCGGCAAACTTACTAGACTTCAGTGACCTAATCGAGTCGACTTCACTGGACATATTGTCAAGAAGCAAGCGATTATATATGTTCTGAACACCTCCATCAAAATTACACTGATGATTCTTTCACGGACAACCACCACATCTCGGTAGTATATCAGTCTTATCCCATGCTAAGCTATTGTTATTTAGGTTGAATTAAGGCAGTACGTAGTGATGAATCAATCCTCCAGTTCAAGTGATGAAGCCTCACTTCAAATCTAAGCAGCAGTATGAAGTGGGTGACTAATAAATCAGATCGATTGCAGGCAAAAATGGAGTCTGGAGCAAATCGAAAATACAGGATCGAAAAAAATAAGAGAGGCGAAAGAAATCCAAACATAAGATATTCTATAACTAGAAATTGAAAAGATCTGCAATTCTGCTTGCTACTACGGTTGAGTGTGACCTATACATACGTATAAGAGAGCATTCTTTCTACAACTCGACATATATCAAACCTAAACTCGAACTTCTATAATAATAATATCTCAACAGTAAGGTCGTATGCTGATGGTAGATCTTCTGTACGACACATGTCCTCGACGACACACGCGATCGGTACACGTGTACAGAAAAATGCTTACCATGATTAAAGTTTCCTTAATTATGGCACAAGCCCTATTAGTTAAAGCAGCAACCATAATGCCACTTAATATAATCTCCACCTCACTGTGAAAGGTTGGCTAATAGCTGTGTGCTACTTAAAGCGTAGACCTCAAGGGAGGGGCAATCTTGATTCGCCATTGCCTTTGTTCCCTCCCACCATAAACAAAGGCAGCATGGCACCAAAAGCACACTTAAAAGCCACAGTGCTAACACCAGGGAATCTTAAACTAATGGACAACAAATCCTTATCTCAGAGGACTCGAGATTCGGCAGCAGGTCTTGGTATCATAGCATGCCTTCTTTAACCTAATTCTCGTGCATGCTGCCTTATTATATGCTGTGCCGTATGCTTTGTGTATTCCACAGGTTGCAGTGCCTCCGTTTGCTCTTGGAGGATCAAATCCCCAAAGATCTTTGTTGCAGCAACAGCAAAGCTTCATATATAAACTAGTGAGCATTCAGAGTGGAAAAAGCTGTGGATTGCTTTAGTTGAGGACTTAATTGTTGTGGTCTCATGTAAACTACAAGAAGACTGTTTGGTTGCAGGTTAATGGGGGTGCCGGGAGCAAGCTGACGTGGATGACCTAGTGTAGTAGTATGGAACATGCATGCACAAAAGCCACAGTAGTCACAGACTGAAGTCAAGCCTTTTCTTTTCTTGTTGTAGCTCTTGCAGTGCAGCATGCACTGGCATTGAATTCCTACCTTCATGGAGATTTTTCTTCCACAGAAAACAAAATGATATGTCCTTTTAAGAAAAAGTTAAATGCTCTTGAAGAATCTCATCGATATTATTGTTAATCGTAGTCGTCAAGTTGATATTGGATGTCAAGTTGACCTAATCCATTTCCACGATAGATATCATACTCGAATATCATACTCCAAATGTGATATGCCTAGTCCTCTAATTTTTCATGATTCTCACCTCGAGTATTGGCTTGGAATATCGAGTTAAATGTTTTTTACGAAGACTTATATTAGGAATATCTTTTGACATCCAAGTTAATTAATTGTCCGATGTGAAAGTAAAGTATTCGGTAATTAAAGAGTTAAATATACTATTTAGAGAGAATAATCTATAAATCAAATTTGATTCCAAGGATCATTTTGTTATGATTTTACATTAATGTGACAAGTCTCATTAACCTATTTCGATGAATTCAAGTGATTAGGATCCAAGTATTAATTATCTGATTGGATCCACGTATCCAATTTTAACCGGAGAAAAATATTGACTATATCAATCGAAGAATAGAAAAATAAAAGGATATATAAAAGACATAAATTCCATGCTGCTAAGTAGGATTATGCAAGACACTTTGGCATTTCAGAATAATTTGTTGTACTCCTAGATTAATGGGTTACAATTGAAGGATGTGGTGTATCACTTTCCGTATCAGAACCGGAGAAAAAAACAGAGATAAACCATAATACCAGGAAGAATCTTATATACCTTTACATAAAGTGCACTTGAATCACTGTACTTCACTTTAAGCCAAAAGAGACCACTTTACCTTCTGACACAAGAACTTGAATGCAAATGGAAAAATGCAGTAGTAGCAAAGCAAATGAACTTTGATACCACTTGTTTTCCCACAATTCCCACCAAATTATGGACTGGTTGATGGCACTAAAAGAATTTCATATCTTGTACAGCCACATTGTCATGGTTGAATGCACTAAATACAGCTAGATTTGGGGGTTTCTGGAGAAAGGTAGAATTATATGCCAACAATAAGAACAAAAAAGGTATTGAGGTGAATGCATGTTTACCCACTTATTCGGATCAAAATCTCATCTAATAAAATTTTATATCTGAGATATTAATATATTATATCATATTTATTTATTAAAAATTAAGAGTTTAAAATTGTATTTGATAATTTTGTTATTATAAAACGATGATGAGGTACTAGACCCTCTTATTGAGATTGGATTCAAGATCTCATTTGGATTAATCTTTTATCTAAATTAATATAACGGTATTATTTCAATCCACTTATAAAAAATTATGGACTCCGAAGCTCATCCGATAAGTGTTTTCAAATCCCACGTTAAACAAAAGTGCATATGTAATCGGAATTAGGATACAACACAGCGGCATGCATGTAATTATAGGGAACAGAGGAGAGCAATATAGGAAACAAGCATCCGGACCAAACCACGGGTTTCGGAAGCGACTCACCTCTCGTCAACAGATTGTTTTGACCACATCACGTGTCTGTAGCCATTATCACGCTCAAGGGCATTTTTCTTCCGAATTTACTTTACTGTACCTAAAAGCATTTGTATATTCGCATAATAAGTAGGGGTACTTTCGTCCTATTGCTTCCAATAAAGATCCACGCTTCACGCCCTCCTCAGCTCGTGATCTCCCTCCACCCTCGTGATCATTCTCTCGTTCGAGCTCGCCTTCCTAGCCGCGCGTGGGATTCGATCTTTCTGTCGCTTTGGATCGACTGGTATGAAGAGATCTCCAGTTTTTACTGTGAAGTTGCGTTTTTTGTGGGGTTATTTCGGTGTAAGGCGATGGAAATCTGAAGCTTTTCTGCTCTCCGGCTCTCGAATCAATCGTTATCTGATGAATGATTCTAGAGTCTGTTGGGTTTGTTAGGAATCTGATCGATTTCATGCTCAAAATCGAGACTTCTTCTCCTTCTGATCTGTTTTCTCGCAGTTTTTTCCTTGGTTTCGCATCTTCTTGATGAGGACGTTTTCTCATTTGTTTACATCAAAACAAGGTTTTGTTCTTTGTTTGTCTTATGTACTCTGTTCTTTTAAATTTTTTTATGTGCTTCAAGACGAATTTGAGAGCAAAACGTTTTCTTTTTGGAGGGCTGCTTGGGTTCCTGTACTCCTTTGAACTGCTAACTGTTATCCTCCATTAATCTTGGTGCAAGATTTAAGGTTTTAAGATGGATTCGTTGTTCAGGGGTCTCAAGCCGCGGAGGTTCGGCGGAAGTGAAGGATTGTTGTGGTTAAAGATTCAGAGCAGTATGCGGTGGCTGAGTCTCTCGGTTGATGTCTACCGGAAAGTGATCTCCTTGAACTTGTATTGCAGAGTTATTCTGTAACTCATTTCCTCCTCATGCGTTCCCTCTTAGAGCCAGCAGAAACCCTAAAGATTGCCACTTGGCTTATATTTCTCCCTCGTCTTGCCTCTGCGATCCATCTTACTGGTCCTTTTTGAGTATCATTTGGCTTCTTTTCCTCTTTTCATTTGGTTGCATTCTGTTGGGTTCTCGGTGGACTGGTCTGGTTTCAGAGGAAAGAACAGTAGTAATGGTGTGCCAGGCAGCGACGAGAACGAGATTCCGAGCTTTGAAACACGAGAATGGGATCGCCGGTAGCACCACCATAATTGTTAGGGTCATTGCTTGCTTCCGACCATTGCAGGATTGCCAGGTAAAATTGCAATAAGAGACTCAATAGGCTGCTTGGTGAATGTTTAAGATACAAGCTTAGTTTTTTTCAATCTAATTTTCACTAGTTGATATGACATATCGTATTGATTTTTGATAGGCTGAGTATTTCCGCCATCTCCTAAAGCCGGTCACGTAAATTAGCTTCCCTTTAGCAGTTCATCTTCGATAAGGCTGGCACTTTTGCTCTCCTTTTTTCATAGATCCTGAAGTGAAAACAATTTTTTATACTTACTAATTGCCTGAGGTAAAACATGTGTTTTGATTAAATTTTGTATCTTTATGTGAATCTGATAGACTCATCGTTTAATTTTAACCAACTAATGCTTGCTTTCAGGTCATCAATTTGGGCTTTGTTTTGATGGAGAAGGATATGAATCCTCGGACTGGCATGCAACATTCACCTTGGCAATTTAGTAACATGAACCCTGCTAGTAATATACAACAGTTTGATATCGGGTATCAGAACACCAATTCAATGCTGTCTCCTGCCTATGTTCCGCATGGTTGTGTCTTCTCAGTCAATACTCCAACACCCTTCCCTGGTATCAACACGGACAACCCCTTCCAACAGACATCATCTTTGATCCCTCCTCTGTTCCCATCTTGTAGGCATCCAGAATTTGATGGATCAAAGAAGAGATGCGTGGTCTTTGATCAAATTGGCTATGGAAGGAGCTTCTTCTGTAGCTCATCAGATATCCCTTTTCCATGCTTTAATTCCATGAACCCAGGTTTCAGTCTGCAGGGCAGCACTGAAACCAATGTTTCTAGCAGGAACGAAGGTGAAGAGATGCATGAAGATACGGAGGAAATCAATGCACTGTTGTACTCAGATTCTGATGATGAAGAGGCCAGCACAGGACACTCTCCGGTTGGGGCATTAGAGATGGGTTCATCCGAGGTCGCAAGCTCCATGCTTCCAGTGAAGAGGAGGAGAGTTGATGTAGAATTTGATGCATCACTTGTAGATACTGCAAGCTCACAAGTTTTTCACTGCCCCAACGAACCTATGAGGTATAGGAATAAAGATGAAGATGATGATACTGAATCAAGCTTTGTGAAAGGAGGCGATCACGATCAGAATGCTGATGACAGGCAACTCAAAAGAGCAAGAATTCAAGAAACAGTTGGCATATTAAGAACGATTATTCCTGGAGGGAGGGGGAAGGATGCTGCCTCTGTCCTTGATGAGGCCATCCATTATCTCAAATCGCTTAAACTGAAGACCAGATCTTTGAATGCTACTCCTTAGTTGCTACTCCAGCAGCATCTTTATTATTTGCATCTGTATATATATTAGAATGTGATATTTGCACAGTAGTAGTAGTATCAGTATCAGTTGGATGGACCCTTTTCTCTAAATGTCATGGAAAGAGAAAGGAAGAGGCCAGTGGGTTCTATCCACACAGCTCCAATGATTGAAGGTGTGAATCAGTACCCTAAAAGTCACAGCTTTAGAGTTTTGGGCTTTAATGGTGGAGGAAGGGGGATATGATGGTTCAATAAAGCATAGCTATCCTTTAGTGTCTATGAGTTTGTGTGAGGAGCGAGGATTCCAAATCGATGCAAAGAGGGTCTGTGAGCAACTTATTTTGACTGAGAAGGAATGATGGGCACCACGAGGAGTGCTGCGTGTGTGTGATCAATCGATACAAGCAGGCTTGCACAAGGCTGGTATGTTGGGTGGTGATTGCCACTTTTATCTTGCTTTGTTGGTCTCTTTAGACAGTAGGATGACAGTGCAGAGGAAAATTGAAATCTGGCTATTGCGTCTTGGCTTTAATCATTTCCTGAAGACTTGTGGAGGATATATTGCTTTGTTGACATGGCAAGGGAGGGCAGGTTGCTTCATGATTAACCTTGTTTGGGGCCATGCTGAAATATATTGAGGAAGGGGCATTTGGGTGCATGATGAGTGGATAAGGCTGTGGTCCATTGATAGTTCTCTTTTGGCAAAGTGGGAGTCACTGTCCTCTTGAAAGGTGTGGTTCAGATTTGGTATGGTTGTTGGACAACAAAGCTGCAAAGTGCTGCTTGTTCAATTTGACTCTGTGACAATGATCTAAGAACAACTCTACTTGCTGCTGCCCTCCGATTTTTCTTTGCTGTTGGTGTCAACCATGAGCCTCGACATTGTGTACCATGAGCCTTTGTATTGGGAGTGCAGGAAAGGATGCTATTGTTTGTGGTCATTGTTTCTGGATTCGAGGTTCTGTAATCATGAGTTTGATGCATAGGAACAGTCTGTTGGCATCTCCTGGATGTAACAAACTTATCGGCGGCCTGTGATTGTGTCGAAGATGTTGTTGACGGTTTGTGATTGTATTGGACGTGTTGTTGAAAAGACTATGTTTGGGTTTGATATTGTAATGTATTTCTTGTTTGCTCTTGTTGAACGGCTGAAGGTTTTGTTGTATGTAACGAGATTGTTTTCATGATCTAAACACTGATCTAAAAGAGTAATCTTTACCGTAAGTGTTCAGAGAATTCCTCTACGTCTGCAACTATCTTTGCACTAGAAAAACAAGGATGCCATTCTTGAAACCCTTTTCTGGCCAAAAGTATCAGCTCCTTTGAGAGGAAAAACATGTATACATAATCAAAAAAGAAAATCAGTAGTTTAATGAGTGCAGAAAAAGAAAAATAAAAAGTTGAAAGACAACAAAGAAGAAAAGAAAAACAAATCAAGCAAAAGTAAATAGAGGACTATGCAATCTGTGGAGTCCTCCATTCCCTAAGAAACCTCTCCAGTTCCTCAAGCATATGCAAGTTATGTTTGGCACATTGTTGCTGAAACGTCCAATACTTTCCATCCATAAAGCCCACCTAAAGTGTGCAGAGAGAGAGAGAGAGTCCACAATGCCGTCGAAGAAATGCACGACCGAGCAGCAGTCGAGAGTAGTTCAGATATATTTCTTGTAGTAATTGCGCGCGCGCACACACACACACACAAATATATATATATATATATATATATATATATATATATATATATATATATATATATACTGTGTCAAACCTAATTATGTAAGTCTCTTAATTTAATTAGGACTCTTAAACTAATTCCTCATCTAAATAAAAATTTTCTTCCACATCTTCTCTCATTTCCTACCTGCTCACAAAAATGAATGGTTTCACCCATATAAACTGTCCTCAACACCATTTTTATGAGTGGAGTCCATGGCTGGCATAGGTGGCAACCACTCAAGGCTATTTAATTGACCATGTCTTCTGACCGAGGCAGGTGAGGTTTTGAATCATCATCAAATGTGTATCAATGATCACTATGCTTCGTTTGTGCACATAAAGCAAAGCATCTACGAGAGAGGAATGGCTCAGCAACCAACACATTGCAATATATTATTCTGGAATGAAAGGTGAATTTACAGATGTTAGTCTCTTATTCCTCGTGCAATGGGCATCAACACATGAACAACTAAATAATACACAAGCATTACATAATTACATTAGGACGGATTTATATTTGTTCTTGATGACCACATCTACGAGTTGTCTGATATATTTGTTCCGTGATCAGAGAATATATATAATCACGATTACAGTGTCATAGGTCAAGTTTAGTCTCACATTGGATGTGAATAATTAATCAGATAAATATACTACTGTTGTTTTGTACTTAGGTATTTTACACAAGTTGATTAAGAAGATAATTGAGTTTCTTTATAGGTTAGATAAATCTCGTATGTTTAAAAGCTTGTACTATTTCACATTGTTTCCTTCACTCTTATCAATTTTATTTAGATTTCTTAAGGACGTGCAACATACTTATTAGGTAAGCTCATCAAGGTTTTTGTGGACCGAAGCACAATAATGCATCATCACTTTCTATGTGAGACTAAACGGTTAGGAGCAAAATCTTAGAGCATTTGCATGGCAACACTATCCATTTATTCTTCCTTAGTGCATGTGAGACTATCAAAGGTGACAGTGGGCTGCCTTTTGGATACATGCAATGATGCTGACACCCATTCCTAGTCATATGAGAAGACTTGGAGCGAAAAAGAATCCTAAGTTATATATCAGTGCATATGAAGATGACCTGTGACCGAGAAAGTCCATGACCTCTTCCACAAGATTGGTCATGTTGTTACTTTTTTAGCTGAGACTTTCCCATCCAACCCTTTTGTTTATCCATGCAGAGATAATAATAAAACAGCCCATGAAGTTGCCAAGAATTGTGACAACCTTCCATCTGAAAGATACCTCTTCTTCTTGCAGGGCCCATGCAAGCATTGCCTAACCCCATCCATTCCTTTCCTTCTCTTATTTTCCACTCCATACATTTTCAAAGCTTCCTTCCTTGTTCCTCTCCTCTTCCTCTCCAAAAAGCACAAAAAGGAAGGGGTTGACAGCATCAGATTCCTCCCCTTTCCTTCTCGCTTAGGAAGTAGAATGGGGAGCAAGGGAGGCGCTGCGCCACCGCCGTCGTCGGTGGTCTGTTGCATGTGCGGCGATCGTGGGCTGATGCAGGAGCTCTTCCGGTGCAAGCTCTGCCTTGTGAGGTCTCAGCACAGGTCGGTCGCCGTCTCTTTCTGCTGCTGCATCATCTTGTCTTGTTTCAAGAACTGCAACTACTGCTCTAACCTAAAGCCTTGTTCAAGGCTATTCAATACAAAGAAGGAATCCCATGCAAGACATGTTGTGTTCATCGTGTTAATCAATAGCTTCTCAGCAACAAGATCTGCCTCCCAACGAAGATCCTCAATGAACAAACATTAAGCTCTTCATATATATAGTATCAGTTCACTTGTAAGTCTCGTCGTATCAATCCATACACGCTCATGCCTTCTTCCATCAATTTTATGAGGATCCTCATCTACGAAACAAGATAGAACCCTAGAAATTAGGACTTTTTTCGTATTACTGCAATAACATGTGACTCATACAAGAATGATCGAAGAACAAACGTGGAAGCTAATTTCCACTAGCTTTATGACTGTACCACATTTTTGTCCTATCCAGGATTCATTTGTCTCCGGTCTGTCAGAGTTGCATTAAATCTTATCCGACATTTATGAAGTATCTATGTTTGATGGAATTGATCTGTTTAGGTTTCATTTATTATCTTTATTTGCAATTTAACCTCTCCATCAAACATTACCATGAATGTGGTTGGTCATGGAACGATAGTACATATCATCATACACTCCATTACATATTAGCTGATCTCAACAATCTCAGCAGATACTGTAGTAATTTCTATCCCAAAGCTGAATCCTACCGGACATGCAATTGGTGTCTAAGGGAGGAAGGAGAGAGGTCTCTTCCCAAAGAAGCCATGAAGGACACCAACAGATTGGTCTCTTCTTCCAGTAACAACGACAGCAGCAATGACTCAGGAGCAAGTAAGCTCCATCGAGGAGACTTCTCGTCGCAGCTCAACAAGCCTATCAAGAAGCCCAGGCTGCTGGACTGGTCGGCGTCGGATGTCACCGACCGGGTCTGGTCGGGAGAGCTGTCGTCGGGCTCGGGAAGGGCAAGGCAAGTCCTGAGGGGCAAAGCCAGAAGGTATAAGCTCTTGGAGGAGGTCTCCAGCTAACTGAGCGCAGCCTGCGACAGATCTGCTGGCTCATCTTCTCTTAATGATCCCAGAGAGGAGCTTTCTACTGTTGTTTGAGTGCTGGTCTCTCTCATCTTTGACAAACGGAAGCCGGAAAGCAGTTTTCATCATAATAGAATATGAATCTGCCATATAAATATGATCACTGTTCAAGAAGAATGTTTGGCGATCGAGGTGTGGGAGAAGGTGAGGATGAAGTGACGAGCTTTGATGAAGGGGGGAAGAAGAAGGCAAGGGAGACAGCCACAGCCAACCCCACACCACAAATGCAAGGGCGAGGGCGGTGCGGTGCGGTGGATGACACGCCAAAGTACAGACATCTGAGGACTTGGGAAGGACGTGAGGGCCCTGCGTTTGGTGGGATGGCAACATCCATGGTGGGGGCTCGCTTTGGCGAAGCCATGTGCGCGTCCATGGAGAGCAGCATCCATGCACGCATGGTAGCTGGAGACTGGCTCGCTTTGGCGAAGCCATGTGCACATCCATGGAGAGCAGCTTCCGTGCACGCATGGAAGATGGGTAGCATAACCCATGGTAGCTGGAGACTGCCTCGCTTTGGTGAAGACATGTGCGCATCCATGGAGATCAGCTTCCATGCATGCATGGTAGCTGGAGACTGGCTGTTGCTGTAATGTTAGGGCAGGTCCCTTTCCAAATGGCTTCAGGAAGAACTGCAAACTTCATGAGTTATGCTACCCATCTGAACACAAAGTTTGTCAGAGGAGAAAAGGAGAGATCCAAAGGCACTCCTGTAGATGCAACATAATTGAGCTATCCGTGAAGAAGAAGATCCAAATCTATACAAACCCCCTTGCACTGCTTGTGATGTGATGCGTCGAGAAAAAAAATGATAAAACACGAGTAGCAAGAAACTCTATGGTCGATAATGTAAAAGAAGAATACAAAAAAGAAATAAACGAAAAGATTGCACATGTATTTATATCGCTAAAGTCTGAAGACTCCTCGATAGCTTAGGACTCAAAACAGTTTCTAGTAATTAGTTAAGAACATGATCTCATGTATAGTCACCTCATTATTAGTTTAGGACTCAATCTCATGGTATCCTAGCTAAATTAAACAAGATAATATTAGTATTATCTCTAATATAATGTACTTCTATCTGACCAAATCAAATCAAATCAAATATGATCGGATTATGATTTGATCTGGATTAATCTTGATGCGATACAAATCTTAGGGGAGGGTGACAAAAATTTGAGAACATAAAAGAAATGGCCTCTTAATCTGGTAATGACATCTCTTTCGACATCAATGAGTTGTTGTATCACACCCTTACCATAATAGCTAAAATTAGATAAAATAATCCACTGCAATCAAAATAGGAAGACAAGGGTCAGATTATTTAATAGCAATGCAGCATAAGATTTAGACAACACACACACACACACTCTCTCTCTCAATATATATATATATATATATATATATATATATATATACATATATATATATATATATACATATATATATATATATATATATATATATACATATATATATATATATATATACATATATATA